GATCCCCTTGTCAACACGCTCAGCTTGTGTAGATGAAGTTTAAAGAAGTTTGCGTACCTCAGGGTCCGAACTCCCCGTGTAAAATGGATTGAGGGGTGATTCCCGTTGTTCATTCCTAGGAATGCTACTAAGATCTCACCACAACACGGTTGTTTGGCTCTGTTTTGTTGGATTCGGTGACGAAGAGGTCGCATCTTCAACTTCGCCGTATACTCACCCTCACAAATTGTAGAATCTCATTTGTGCTGTGCAATACCCACGAATGCACATTGTTATAGCATGAACAAGGCGAATCGAAGCAACACGAACACTAAGCTCAACTCTCGGAATGAAAAGACCAAAACTGATTTTATTTGAGCTTTCAATGGCGACGAGTTTCCGCTTCTAACCACTAATCTAGAAACCACGCGCTTGAAAAAGTGTACAACAAGGAGGTGCTACCATCTTCCACACGAAATGGCAACGTGCGAGCAGCTTACTCGCAGTCGAGCACGATGCGGCCCGCGAGCTTGCCAGCGGCCATGCGCTCGAACACGCTCGGCAGGTTCTCCAGCTTCTCGATCGTGTACGTGGTCGACACGTCGCCGGCAGCGGCCAGCTTCAGCGCCTCGATCGAGTCTTGGCGGTTGCCCACGTACGAGCCGATGATGCGGTGCGAGTTCAGCACCGAGCCGAAGACCTCGGCCGTGATGTACGTGTCCTTGGGCAGACCCACCAGCACCACCGCGCCGTGCGGGCGCAGGAACGACAGCGCGTCGGCGTAAGCGTCACCGCCCGAGGCGACAACAACGCTGGCGTGGGCGCCGCGGCCCTCCGTGGCCTCGAACACCTTCTCCTTCACGTTGCCCTCCTTGAAGTCAATGAAGTCCTTGATGCCGTACGACGCAACGAGCTTACGCTTGTCGTCGCCAGAGTCGATGGCGATCACGCGGTAGCCCATGGCGCGCGCGTACTGGCACGCCAGGTGGCCCAGACCGCCGCCGGCGCCCGGGATCACAACGAAGTCACCGCAGTTGCCCTCGATCTCCTTCAGCGCCTTGTACACCGTCACACCGGCGCACAGAATGGGGGCGGCCGCGTGCATCGGCAGCTCCGTCGGGATCGGCGTCACGTGCTCCGAGAACGACACGCACCACTGCTGGAACGAACCGTCCACCGTGAAGCCGTGCAGGTCCGCGTCCACGCACGTCGACTCGTGGCCCTTGCGGCAGTCCTCGCAGCCCAGGCACGAGTTGGCCAGCCACTTGACACCCACCGGGTCACCGATTTTGAGGCGAGTGCTCGTGTGCTCGGCGATGGCAGCGACGTAGCCCGCGCCTTCGTGGCCGCCCACCAGCGGCAGCTTGTTGTCCAGCGGCCAGTCGCCCAGCCACACGTGCAGGTCCGTGTGGCACACGCCCGAGTACGCCAAGCGCACCAGCACCTCGCCGGGCTTGAGCTCCTCCGGCTGCGTCACGGGCCAGTCCTTGCGGACCTGCAGAGGCGCGTTGTTCTGCTCGAACACCACGGCCGTCTGCGTCTTGGGGATGTCGTAGTGCGACTGCGACTTGACCGAGAACGAGCGCGACTGGCAGCGCGGGCACGTGCAGCCCGTGGGGTGCTGCACGCAGTTGCCGCAGCGGCACTGCATGTTGTGCGCGCCGGCGAGCGACTTGGCCGAGGTCTGGGCCGCGCGGCGGGCGGGCTGGCTGAAGCGGGACACCACGCGCAACATGGTGATCAGGAACTGGAGCTTGAAGAGGTTACTGCAGGGAGATCAAGAGCAGCCGGCAAATTGCAGAATGAGCTTCAGCTTCACTGCTGAGGACGCCCCCGCTTCGGCGGGCGCCTCGGGGTGAAGGGATGCCGCACCAGCATTGGACTTTGCACGCAGGTTTCGGCGTCTTTGGCGCGGGGCGGCATAAAAACTCGCGCCGACCAAGCAGCATCTGTGTGTGTCATTCGCCATGCACGGCGCTCATAGGCCGCGACTGCACCATCTTGGCGATTGCATCTTGCTGCGACTCGCAGCCTGCGAGCAAGGATACTTGGCCCGTCTGCTGTTGCCCCCGCATAATATGCGGCATATGCTTGATGCACCCCGCATAACCTGATGGCTTGCATGTCGGCATCGGTAGCCGATGCAGATGCCTTGCGTTTCCCCAATGTCGGAGAGCGTATGTCAGTCGATGAGCTCTTATTACCTGTAGTGCCTGTGTAAGATGATTTCTAGCCATGTGTCGCTTCAGTATAGGTTATTAGGAGCGAACTTGCACTTTTACGGGTTTTGTCAAATTCTAGTACCGTCGGAGGTCCAATTCACACACGGGTTTTGGCAACTGACAACTGACCCATTGTTTTAGACCCCGTTTTAGTCTGCGTTTTAGTCTGTGGCAGGACCTGCCCGAGCACTTCAACCAGATCGATACAAATTCCAGGTCAAAACAAAGTCATTTCAATTATCATGTCAAAGGGGTCACGCGCACCGAGGCCAGAGCTGCTCTCCACTTCACTACTGCTTCTCGATGCCACGCCCCGTACGTACACAAAAGCACTCGACTCGACTCGACACGTCGCAGCCAACCACTGCCGCTTGCCCTTGCACAGAGGGCTGCTGTACTGACTGCGCCCACACCAACCGTTTACTCGCAGTCCAGCACGATGCGGCCCGCGAGCTTGCCCTCGGCCATGCGCTCGAACACGTCCGGCAGGTTCTCCAGCTTCTCGATCTTGTACGTCGTGCTCACGTCGCCAGCAGCGGCCAGCTTCAGCGCCTCGATCGAGTCCTGGCGGTTGCCCACGTACGAGCCGATGATGCGGTGCGCGTTCAGCACCGAGCCGAAGACCTCGGCCGTGATGTATGTGTCCTTGGGCAGACCCACCAGCACCACCGCGCCGTGCGGGCGCAGGAACGACAGCGCGTCCTTGTACGCCTCGCCGCCCGACGCCACCACCACCGTCGCGTGCGCGCCACGGCCCTCGGTCGCAGCCAGCACCTTGTCGCGCACGTTGCCTTCCTTGAAGTCGATGAAGTCCGTGATGCCGTAAGACGCCACCAGTTTGCGCTTGTCCTCGCCCGAGTCGATGGCGATCACGCGGTAGCCCATGGCGCGCGCGTACTGGCACGCCAAGTGGCCCAGACCGCCACCAGCGCCAGGGATCACGACCGAGTCGCCGCACACACCGCCGATCTCCTTCAGCGCCTTGTACACCGTCACACCCGCACACAGGATCGGAGCAGCCGCGTGCATCGGCAGCTCCTTGGGAATGGGCGTCACGTGGTCAGCGTACGACACGCACCACTGCTGGAATGAGCCATCGACCGTGAAGCCGTGCAGGTCCGCGTCGACACAAGTGGACTCGTAGCCCTTGCGGCAGTCCTCGCAGCCCAGGCACGAGTTGGCCAGCCACTTGACACCCACCGGGTCACCGATCTTCAGGTGCGTGTAGCTGTGGTCGCCGATGGCAGCGACGTAGCCCGCGCCTTCGTGGCCGCCCACCAGCGGCAGCTTGTTGTCCAGCGGCCAGTCGCCCAGCCACACGTGCAGGTCCGTGTGGCACACGCCCGAGTACGCCAAGCGCACCAGCACCTCGCCGGGCTTGAGCTCCTCCGGCTGCGTCACGGGCCAGTCCTTGCGGACCTGCAGAGGCGCGTTGTTCTGCTCGAACACCACGGCCGTCTGCGTCTTGGGGATGTCGTAGTGCGACTGCGCCTTGACCGAGAACGAGCGCGACTGGCAGCGCGGGCACGTGCAGCCCGTGGGGTGCTGCACGCAGTTGCCGCAGCGGCACTGCATGTTGTGCGCGCCGGCGAGCGACTTGGTCGAGGTCTTCACGACGCGGCGCGCGGGCTGGTTGAAGCGAGACACGATGCGCAGCATGATGGCGAGCTTGGAAAAAGGTTCTTGGGGTGGTCGCTTGGTGAAGTGGTGGGCAGTAGCCGGCAAAATGGGGAATGACTCGAGCTGTCGAGCTCGTGCGTGGCAGGCAATCGGCACGAGGTGGTCCAGGCAGGTGCAACGACACTTGCAGTATCTTGACGCGCACTTCAACGTGGACGACTTGCGTGTCGGCGGTCGTCGCTGGGCCGCTGGCCAAGCTGAAGCGCCTGGGTTGGGCCCAACTTCAATGCCACGCCAGCTTCCGGTCGTCAAGAGCAGTAAAGTGAGCCGGGAGCAAGTTCAACCACATTCGCCCGTAAAGCGCCGGCAGCCCCATGACAACTAGGACTGCAACGACCTCGTTTAACGCTTCAAATTGACAGGGCCATCACTCGAAATGCAAGACGGCGGCCGTAGTCGAGAGCATGAAGAGCTTTACTTGCGCTAAAGCTCTTCAACGATGGTGCGGAATTAGGACCCCAAGCAGTTGTTTTAGCTCGTTCGGCTGTTTGGTTTGGTCGGCAATGAAACGCAAGACACACTTGCTTTTTGTATGGTGCGTATCTTTGCATTTTTAGCAGGCCGTAAACAGCCCCTCCGCGGTATGATATTCTGGTATCGGGATAAAGGGTCACACTTGTATAGGTGTACCTACGCATAATAAAAGACTCAACTGGTGGAGCTACCGCTTTATCAAAAATTATCATAGAACACAGGCGTGTACTTCAACTTACGGTACGCCGTCAAGCGCTGATCGCCCGCCAACCTTGCCATCCATGTCGATTCCCAATCTAATTGCTACACGGGCCATCGAGCTACGACTCCTCGGTGTGCGTGCTAGCCACTGGCTAGTAGCCAGATCGCCGGTTCCGTTCGTTCCCTCCGAGTCGGAGGCTCCGACACCACCACCGCATTTGGTGAGTGTCCAGCGAGCAAGCGATCGGCGTTGCTGGGTGGATCTTGCAGTCGTCTCGAGCTCGGGTCGCTTTGCTTCAAATCCTATGAGATGAGGCGCCGGCTTTTGTCCGCGGTGTCGTTCCTCGTTGCTTCAAGGCGAGCGGATACGCTTGGAGCGAAGAGATTTCGACGGACGAGCGCTGGCCCAGCACCGCTGGGTGGGGCATTGCGACGGCAA